ACTTTTCTACTTTGCCCACTGCTTCTATGGATATCAGTAGTAATTTTAAACTAATCAATGCTCAGCTGCTTGATATGAATAAAAAATAAGAGGCAGTAAGATGAAACTGGCAGTGCCCAGTCCTCTGAATGTGTGTTCTGCCTGCACACTTGGAATCAGAATCAGAATTAGAATCAGAATCAGCTTTATTGGCCAGGTGCTTAGGACACACGAGGAATGTGACCCTGGTCCAGTGGCTCTGTGTATATGTACAGTGTTCTTTGATAAAGCAACGAGCAGACAAGTACTTATAAAATATATATATACACACAGGTCAAGGTGAATCTGTTATGAGTGAGAGAATGAGCTAAGGAAAGTGTGATTGTGTGTGTGTGTGTGTGTGTGTGTGCGGTGGCAGCCCCCAGTAAACTCCAGCACTGCGTTCTTGAACACACCACTCCTCCCTTTCCCTTCATTCTCAGCCTCCCAACTAAATGAGGTTAATAAACTCAAGTGTTTACCTACATCACCAACACCGTCCCTCCTCCTCTGCTTTCTCCTTCATCTCTCCCTCTCTACCTCCACCTCGCTCTGCACTCCCGATCCAGCACTCCTCCACCTCCCTTCTACTCCTAAGCCTCCCTCCCTCTTTCATCTCAGCTGAAACGCTTTCTTGCTCTTTTCCTCAACTCTTTTTTTTTTTTTTTTATCATCACTGTTGCCGGACGAAAGCTCTGGGATTTCCTCCTTCTATTTCCCAGGACAGAGTTGCAATTACAGCTCAGGAGAGAAGACGACCAGCTGTGCAGGGGAATTGGGAGCAGTATACAAATAGTAGCAGCGTGACAAAGATGAGAGCGCCCCTCTGAGGCGAGGCAGTGAAGCTGCTCATATTTCATATTTATCCCTTACATCAACGCAGAAGCATACTTTCAGACCACATGGCTGTACTAGCCTGGGTCATCTTGACCAAACAGATATAACAACTCATCATAGCTAATAATGTGCTGCGTTATAACCGTGCTCACGTCTCCTGAGCATAAAACACACACACACACACACACTTACTGGTTGTGGCAGGAACAAGTAGTGATATCAAGAATGCGTCAGATAGCCTTGGGTGCTCTTATCATTGACAGGAACACCCTAACAGAAGAAAATACCACAAATACAACTAACGTAAACATGTATAAAGGACAAATTCAGACAGCTGTGACCTGTATACTGTTGCTGTTAGGGCTTGGCAGAAACATTCTGCATCACCATGTCAAGATGTTTGTGAATGAATGTCTCTGAAACACACTCTTGCTGTTGGTGTTTGACTTGCTTTTCCTTTCATCTCTGTGTTTATAGCCTCTGGCTATAGAATCAATTAGTTAAGATTTGCTATGGCTTTTTTATTGTATATAGCTTACTTATTATACTTTTTAAATAGCTCTGTTTACCTGCAATACAGCAGAGTCTGAAATAGTGTTATCTGACATCTAACGGGATTACTTTCAGACAAAAGGTTTAAGATTTATTTTTAGTGTTCCTCTGATCATATGACTCAAGGCCCAAGCTGGTAAACCCTCTTCGGTTTTTACTACACTGACTCACATTGAGTAATATACAGCAATAATGTCGCAAGTATTTGTGACATTGAACAAAGTGTCATCCATCCAGTCAGTGAGTCATTTGTCATGCTGTGATGTTAAAGATATCAGCAGATTAAACTGGTGATATCCCATATTTTTGTTAGCGTCAACAAATCTCATGAAAGTCTTTGCCTGTCAGAAGTGGTGGAAAGTAACTAAGTGCATTTACTTAAATATGCCTACTGTACTTAAGTACATGAGTACTTTCATTTTTCATTACTTCATAATTTGACCTCACTACATTTTAGAGGCAAATATTGTACTTTTTTTTTACTCTGCCACTTTTATTTTATAACTTTTAGTTACTAGTTACTTTTCAGAATCATATTAATTAAAAAAATACATCATAATGATAAGACTTTATTCATTTCCAGTGGAAAATTCACAAACTACCCAGCAGTAATTCAAATTATAGGCATATAACCTACTTAAAACTAGCTCCCCCATTGCCAGCTGCATTAATTTAATGTATCAATAATTATAATCCAATAATATGATAGAATTGATGTGAAATGTGTAATGAGTACTTTTGCTTTTAGTACTTTAAGTATGTTCCGATGCTAATACTTCTGTATTTTTATTGAAATAAAATTCTGAATGCAGAACTTGTAATAGTATTTTTAAACTGTGGTATTGCTACTTTTACTTAAGTAAAGGATCTGAGTACTTCCTCCACCACTGCCTGTCAGTGGCAAAAACATATACTTTAATTTCTTATATTTTTAATGTCTTTTTAATGTCTTTGATGCCAGTGGTGATATGGTTTAAAAACGGGATTACCAGTGCACGTTTTGAAGAGCATTTTTATTGGGTGACATTATAGTGTTGCACTCACTTGTTTGTATGTAAAGTTACAAAACTAGTTGAGTAAAGAAAGAAAAAGTAGAGCTTGTGGGAGAACTTCCTTACAGGAGGTTCGAAAGCACTGTTCGACCATTTGACAAGCAGTTACGATGAAGCATACTGGCAGCTTAAATTTCTGGAATACTCCTTTAAGTGACCCTGATCCTGTCATGTACAGTCATCTTTGCTGAGGTGGCATAAATTGAAATGTTCAGAGATCACTGTTGAACCCGTGCCATTTATTGGACACTTTTATCTGTTCATTTTTAGGATTCTTGGCCCCAGCTAGAAACGATCCCTCTTTCTCTGGCAGCACTGCCAGATCCACTCCACACAGGAGCACATTATTCAAATGACTGTGATATGTGCCTGTCCAACTTCAGGCATCAGCTGCTTGCAATGTAATGTTTCCTAACAGCTGTCGCACTGTCAGGTTGTCTGGGTGAGTGTGTAACGAAGTGAGAGTGATGGCAGTAGGAGCCCCCGTCAGGCCCATGGGACAGTCGGAGATGAACAGACGGTCGTGTTGTTTCACTGGAAACATATGGTGAAACTCAAGTGTGTAATTTACCTAGGACTACGGGTGGCCCCATGTAGCATGCACACACATGCTAAAATATACATGTACAGACACACACACACACACAATGACAGGGTGTAATTTACCTGAGGCCTATGGGTGGCCCAATATCCCATTGCACTTGTCATACACACCGGCAGCTCAAACACAGTTCATACTCCCTGACAGAGACAGAGAGTAAAACCAATTTTCCCAGGCCTGTGGGCAGGAGAGTAAGAAATCACACAATGACAGAGACCATCAACACTCCTAAAAGTAAAAGGAGTGAAGCGGCGTTTAATGTATTGGCCCAGTGGAAGACATTACCCCAAAATCTCAATCTGTGGGAGTTGCTGCACACCCTGTTTCACATCCTCTCCCATTCATCAACCTGGCTCATTTTCAAAGCTGGCGCTATCCCCCCCCTCAGAGAGAGAAAGAGATGAAGGTCATGGGAGCACCAGCAAAGGACAGGAAGACCGATTAAAGGAGTATTCCCCCCCCACATTCCTGCACTGACCCCTGTAGTAGTATGGCACTGTAGCTATCATCAGCCCACCTTGCTTTACAGTTGGTTGTTACTCAGGGGTGGGATTATGGGCTCTTCAAACCTGCATGCCCCACCCTGATTCCACAGCACCCGTGAACAGAGCATATCTAGTTTCACATGAGGACTGACAGGCAGTCCCAGACATTTACAGTTGGCACTGTTTGAGCTGTCTGGCTGTGAAGACTGATATGACAACCTGTCTGCATGTTGCTCTGTGTGTGTGTGTGTGTGTGTGAGAGAGAACTGATGTTTCATATCCTTTCCCAGGTACAGAGAAGTCAACCTGAGGGCAAGGAGGCACATGCAGTTGATGCAGATGCTGAGATCAAGACCATGAAGTATTAATACACACACACACACCAAAATGTCCTCACTCCTCACTGTATAAACTTCATGCCAGTCTTCACACACACATGCACACACAGGAAGTCTCCTTGAAGCAGTAACTGAGACTGAATAACTTTGTGGTTTAAACTGGTTTACCAGTTCAGTGGTGCCGCCGTGGAATGCTTCTAAAGACTCGGCAATGTGCTGTAGGATAAACATTTCTGATGCTGCCTCCACATGTGAACATCAGTCAGTTCCAAACAGAAATACTGAGAGTGAAAAATGAAAAGGTGAAAGGGACAGTTGGTTCAGTGGCCAGGATAATGACAATGTGCAGGACAGGCGCTCAGTCTACTGTACACAGAAGCAGATGGAGGTGGTTTGCTTTGCTTAAGGTTTGATCTGATTGGGCAGAGAGTAAATTAGTTGGACAGTCAACATTGGGACTTAACACAGTTCACGTGGCTGAGAATGAGACATAGCCGTTCAACAGGTGCAGAGGATTAGTCTAAAAATAATCAGATAACCATTAACTCCACCCAGTAACCAGTGAATCGCTGTGTATTGATGCTAAAAGCTTTCTATCACTGTGATCCTAAACATATCATGAGTAGTAATCACTCTCTTTATTTCTCTGCAGGGAATCTGTGTGGCCCATAATGAGCCTGGTAAACATCTGCTGCTCCTCCATTACAGACCATTTTCTGTGTCTCATCCTGTAATATGGAGAAATTAGAGTGCAGGGACTCATTCTGCGTTTATACACACATTCACAGAGAGCAGACATAACATAAGGAGTCCAAGTGTTTGATATTCTCAGCTCTAACATGCCATCTCAACACCACAGTTTTCCATCCACAACAGTAAAACAGTACCGGGTGTCCTTGGTGTTTGTTCTCTGGATACCAGGACTTTTCCTCTTTAAAGTGCAGGGTACTGGGACCTGTTCCAACACAGCCAGCTTACTGATTTATCTGGAAATCTAATCTAAGTTAAAACCAGAAGCCCCTTAAATGCAGAAGATGTGCTGATGGAAAAAGCCCCTTTTCAGGTTTTAAACTGGAACAGTTTGTTAACCTGCTTTTTGGGAACAGGACAGTCACTGTTTAACTGAAATAATACATGGTTTATTTAGCATAAGAGGAGTTTCCCTCAAAACAAGGAGAACACAAAGATTGATGCAGAGACATAGCGCCACCTAGTGTTCAGACAAAAACTATAATAGTCAAGAGAAACAAGATTTACAATAATGCAACTCCAAAGCTTTAATAGCTTTTATTATAGAAACCATTTAAGTGTGTGCATAATGATAAGTGTCATACCTAAAGCCAAATATAGAACTCATATTGTACAGCAGACTGAAAGATAAGACAAACACAAAGCACACTCCACCATCTGGGTGAAACACTGATCACAGTCGAGCAGAGAGGCCCACGTCCATGCAAACCTCATACTCAAGTCTTTACGCATTCCTGGAAAGTCTGTGCTGATAGTAAAACTGAAGAACATTTGAATTTTAGGAGGCCCTTTCACACTTGTTCATCTCTTTCTGGACCTCCCTGAGGATCTCCTCCTCTAGTTTGGTCGTGTCGTACTCCTTCAGCATGTCATACTCCAGCCAGGGCTGTGCCCACTTCTGCGCATGCTCCATCTTCTCTGGGGTCAGGCACAGGCTAAAGGCAATGCCCTGGATGTTGAACTTGGGTCGTTCCCATCGTTTAGACCACGGTTTTGGACGCATCTTCACTTTGATCTGGTGAAATGACAGAAATGCCACAACCGCTTACAATTTCAATATACAGTATTTCTACTAGACTCCTCTGACTTTGTCAGCTTTTTGGTGTTTTACTGCAAAGTTGTTCAGCTTGGCTGACATGGCTAGGGATTTTACTCCTACTTAAGCACAGTACAGCATTAATGATATTCCACATCCTTTCAGATCAAACCACCAAGACACATTATACTACTAGAAATAATACCTGAATTAATATGAAGAATGATACAAGCAGCTTTGACAACAAGGGGCAGGTTTGGAGAAGCAACTTTTGTTCCAGATCTTTTGTATAAGTACTATAAAGCATATGCATCCTTGACGTTCTCTCACCGTGTTGACTGGCACCTCTTCAGTTGGGGAGAAGGGCACAGGCTTCATGTCTGGATCCACAGTGCTGTATTCAGGCAGAGCATCTCTCAGGTACATCAGGTTGTCATCCAGCCTCTTCTCCAGCTTCAGCACCTCAATCTTCTGGATCCGAGGGCTGTACAGCTCGTAGCAGATCTCCACACCTGGGCCACACAAACAAAAACACAAGATAGAAACAGGTCATTTCTGTATGTCACAAGTAGAGATGCGTCCTCGCTTCCCGTTCTTATTAAAAATGTATTTATTTTGTATACCTACAGAAGAAAACCTAAAAACCAGAGACAAATATGGAGACAAAGAGAAGAGAAAGACAGGCTCTACACTAACAATATGTTATCATGTACAACAAAAACAAGAGAAGAAAACAAAATATTGTATGGCCAACTCAAGCCATAAGACAGACAATTCATTACACCTTTGCTAGGCCAGAATGTACAGAGAAATTAGATCAACCTCACCTTGGCTATTAATGATGTTCCTCAGGACAAATGTAGCTCCCAGCCCCTTTCCACCCCTCTGGATACAGATGCCAACAAAACGGTTTACTTTCCCACTAGCATTCGGGTCGGCCATGGTCACCCCTAAGATACTCCCTTGAAACAATCAAAACAATTTGCATAATTTTAATCATAAAACGGAAGAACAACGTTTACTGTACGTACCTATTTCTACAAACAGTTTTCTAATACAAATTCAACCAGGAATAGCACTGTTCCTAAATTGATGGACACCTTTTTTTTTTAATGAACACTAACTTTTCAGTATAGTTAGGAATATACTTAACCTCTAGGGACTGAAACCCTTCAACCTGCAGTGTGAAAGTAGCTTCTTACCTACATAGAATTCAGGGATGTCGAGCACTTTCCTCCTGCGGATCATATCCGTCCTCTCAATGAAAAACTTTAAAGGGTTTATTCTTTGTCTGGGAGGGATGAACTCTGGGCTCAGAAACCTGATCGGAAAAGACAACATATAAAACATCTGTCCAACCCGTAGCAGAAAGGTTGGGATATAGGTCTTTTTTTTCTGTTTTACAAATAAATATCATACGTTCGCAAAGGTGCCCCTGTCCGTGTTTTATCTACAATGACTGGTTTAGGTGGAGGGGTGAATTTGGGTGGCTCGCTGTTATCCACACCAACAAAACGACAAAGAGACGCTGAAAAAAACCCTGAAAAAGGCAAGAAAATAAGAAGGTCATTAATTAGCCAAATTAAACACTGACTGCTCAATATCAGATTAAAAATCGTTAGCTAGCTACGTTAGCTCATAACGGATGCACATTACTACATGTTTTCTTAACCTGTCAGCATATTGTTAAGTGTAACAAAGAAGCAGGGATTTATTCGCTTTACTTACGTTCATTTTGAAACTGCAAGTTTCGTAATAACCTCAAGGAAAAGATAAACTCGTGGAGCCCTTTCCTGCAGACAGCCATGTCTGACCTTCTGTTGTCGCACGACAAACGTCATTGATGCGCGACGTTCGCACTGATGTAGTTTCCCACATTATCCATGAGATGGCGCAATTGCCTTGTTCACAATACATGATCTCAAATGTGAACAATTGTGCTCAAAATAAAAAGTAGGACCTTAAAATAGAAGTAAAGCCTAAATAATCAATTAAATTAAGAGGCTTGACTTATTTGGAGCCAATAGCATACACAGAAAATTATGACAAACAGCAGCTGTTTCATTTTGTTATATTTTTTATGTAACTATACATATAGCCTAGCATACTCACCTTATTATAGAGGCCGTCTATCACTCGTATTTAACCCACTAGTCTACATATTATCAACAACACAAAAGTAATCGAAATAATACTTACCTGCACTGTTGATTCCAGCAATTCTAGGGTTTTACCTGTATTCCAGTAAGAAGCAAATAGTGGGAGATATAATATTATATTGCAGTCTACACTTTATTAAGTACTGCATCCATAATTTAGTTAGAATTACAGAAGTTTCAGCAACATAACTGCATCAAAGTACTTACTAAGGAAAGAATTATGCCTTCAGTATTGGCCTATTGGATTATTAGTGATACATCGAAGTGCAAGCAGCATCTTAATGTTTTCTCTGGTTGAGATGGAAGAAATTTGAATTAATTATATACTTTTGGCTGGTCTAATCTATAGGCCTAACAGTCCATCGTTTATTTTATCAAAACATTTTATGTTTTGTAATAATCAGCCTCAAATTATGTAAAAAGCACAATGCCTGTTCACACACCACTGAGATTTAACGAGTTAAACGAAAATGAGCTGTGAAACAAAGCAAATGATTTCCTACAGTAAATGTCGGCGACTGCACAGAAAACCTTCCTAGATATAAACTCTGCCAAATCATGTATTTTGTCCCCGCGTTTCTGGTAAGTTTGGGTCTTTGGGACCATGCATCTGCGCGTCGGTCCTCCAGGAGGGCTGCCTCCACAGCACAACACGCAGTTGGAATTAAACTGAGAGAGCAGTGCACTGCCCCGACCCCAGAGAAACCTCGATCCCAGCCTTACAGCACTGTGGTGGGAGGATGAGGGAAGTCTAGAGACATGATGGGATCTCCTGCATACGGATACAGAACCTGAAACTCGGTGCTGCTGCTGTTGGACTTACTAATGCGACGGAGAAACTTACAAACTTTGAGGTTTCAAGGATGTTCTTCTCAGATGGGTCTGTCTCAGCCGTCAGTTATGTGCTCCTGCTGGGAATAACGTGTCTGATCGTCCTCTGCGATCTCACCCGGGGCTCTTCAGACTTTTCAGGTTGGGAATAGTTATGCTGTGTTCCTGATTTTGACCAAATTAGCGCACACTTGTTGTTTTACAGTATACGCGATCGCCAGCTTGCTGAGATGACCAGCACTTGTTTTATTCTGCGTATGTCATCTGCATTTGAACGTCTGCCCATTTAAAGCATGAGAAGTGGCCTCTATGCGTATATTTGCACCTCAGGAGATGAAAATGAAGTATAGGTTAAGTTGTTAACGCACGCTTTAAACTGCTGCGCACGACTCCCCGAATGACTTTAATGCTGTGCCCCAACAGCTTCTACGCACAGGACGCCCCTGGCATGCTGCAGACTCAAAAGCATGCTCCATAAACCGATTAGAAAAACAACCGTATTTTGCTCTGCATGTGGCTAATTCTGACACGGTTTGTGAACCAAGGGACTTCAAACAACAGGTTCTCCTTTACCAACGTCATCTGACTAAGGGATTTAAGAGTTGGTTTATCAGGACAGCATAGCTCTGCAGCACACTGATGCAACTGAGATAATTTGGATACCGTGGTCTATGAGAACTATTAGACCAAGTGATGTCCTACAATGCAGATTTATAAAAAATAATATACAAAAAAAATCATTTGGAAAGGTACAGTCAATACAAGTGTTTGTCCCAGTGCCTGGGGCCTGGGGCCTGGCAATTAGCCTACCTGAGGTTTATGTGCAAGTTGGTGTTATGGAATCTGTAGACTTTTGTGTGTGCTAAGAAAGGGCAGCATAAAAGGCTATTCTGTGTTGCATAAGCTAGTGAGCTGTGCTGAGCCCAAGGCAAGCCTGCAGGTTTTGTTTACAGTGCCATAAAACAGGAAGGGAGCTTTGTGTCAGTGTTAATTGGCCTCTAATAGGGTCTAATAGTTAGAAAGAAACAGACTAACACTAAGGGAAAAGGTGCTAAATAGCAGTTGTATGTAACATGCCCCTCTGTGTATGACTGCAAGTGCATGCATCCAGGTTGCTGCCTAATGAGCTGCTAAATCATGGTGTAGTGGAGGATGTTAACAAGAACACATTTATGGAATTAGCATGTATGTGTTGGTGTTGGTTTTTCCATAAATAATATGACTAAGTAGATCAGAGGGTGGTTAATTAAGCAAAAAGGGAAAACTATAAGAGCTATGCTTGGAGCACATTTACAAATACCTTGGCTTAGACATGATTATTTATAGTTTTGTTTGCCCATCAAGGGCTCAGTGCATACATGCTTTTAGAGAAATGCTGACCAAGCATCCTTGTGAATGCACCGATAAAGGGGACTACCTCAGAATACCTCACGGACAAAGAAATCACCAGGCTTCACATTCTTGACCAGCTGGAGTCTCCCTGGAGACTGAGAGGAGCTCTTTGATTGACAGGTGCTGCGGGCTGCAGTGTGACAGGAGAGTTAGAGCTAACATCTGTCAGTCCTATACCTACACCAGTCAGATGCTTGCATTAGTGATGGTAAACAATGATCTCATGAACCTTGGCCACTGATGTGAATTAACCTGGTTGAGCCAAGTGTTGATTTTGAAGGAATATTTATTGTAGTCAATGACATGCTATTAGGTAGGTAGGTAGGTACTTTATTGATCCCTCAATGGGGAAATTTCAGTGTTTCAGCAGCAATTGAGAACAAACAACATAACACCATGAGAAACAAACACCACAGACATATCTTGATATAACAAATTTCAGTACCTCAAGCAGCAATAGAGAACAGACAGCATAACACCATGAGAAATGAGAACAAGCACCCACACACATCTTGATAAATAAATTCCAAGTACTCAAAAATAGACAGAATCAAGTATTTGAACAAATAAATAATTTGAATAAATAAATATTCGTGCACTATATGTATAAGTATACATATAGGTTATACATATAGTATAACCTGCTCCAATAGCATTCCAATCAAATATACACACGTCCCGCCCTCCTCCGACACCAAGCGATTATTTGTCAATCACCTGTCAGTCAAATTAGTTACGCTGCTAAATTTGTTGATGTCAGTTACGCTGTGCAGTGATGTTAGCAACTATTTTGGCTAATGTTGTGTTAAGCGTTAAGCTTTCATCGAAATTAACAAATTTAAACTAAACATTCATAAGAAACATTATTGGCCATGTGGCCTGCAACTAGAGTCCGGTTTTCAGTCTATATTTGTTTATGTTTTGGTAAATTAAGTAGGCCAAAATTCACTATTTGCAAGTGTTTGCTAAGCGGATTTACGGAGTGTTATTTGCAGTGGACATCAGTTTTGATATGATGATATCCTCGGAAAGTGTAAGTAACACTGAATCTAAAATGTTATGTCTATGTTCAGATTTGACTAAGATGTGACTGATTATTAAACAAATGTTGGTAGTAAGGAGTTTAAAGTAATGTTGGCAATGACAGGATATGATGGCAATGATAGGCTGTTTAAACATAACAGCTAACCTATTCAGCTGGTTTGGTTTGGAGGTCAGTTCGGCAGTTTTGATGCAATATATGAATTAATTTAACTTGTAGAAATAAGTAGTTCTCAGACACTTTAACTGTATACGAGGAGCCTTCTGAGGAAAAAATGTTGAAGACCTCTGTCCTAGGCTAATAGAGTTAGCAAGCTAGCTAATTAATGCTCCTTGTCCTACACATTATTGATATGCTGTTGCTTTTTTTTGTTATCACTTTTTTAAACTGGAAGTCTATAGAACTCCATATACAGGCTGTTTGTCTCCTGTCTTTACAAGCACTTGTAATGAAACTGTTCTTTATACAGCAAGCAGCAAACCAGAAATGTATGTTATGCTTATTCATTTAACTTTTTGTTCAAATATGGAACAGGCTGCAAGTAACCAGGGGCCTGTACTATGAAGCGAGATTAGTGGGTTATCCACACGACTCTGAGCTCAGTTCAGGTTTTCCATTTCCACAAAGGTGGCTCCAATTTATCATCATGGCAACCTATGCTGCACGGCTAACCTGCTCCAGAGCAGGTTAACCTCAGAGGATCAGATGAAAACCTGTCAACAGCCAGTCACATCACTAGAAAAACTGTGATCATTCCTACTATTCCTATTATTCACTCAGCTCTGGCAGCAGGAACTCTTGGACATTTTTTATTTTTTCCAACACATGTTCACTAAAGGAGAGCACTCATTCAGTATATATATAATACTGAGCTGATATACGGTGGCCTTTCTTTGATATTTGAAAATGATTTCTAATGTTTCTAGCTTATGTGTAACAGTGGCCTGTTGTTTACGGTTTATCCACTATAATATCACTTTTTGCTCTGGCTATAAATGAATTACCCTGGAGGTTTCAGTGTTCCAGCTCATATTACTTCATATTCAATACTTCTTTCATAGTTCTCGCAATTTTGCTTCTAATTAACAATAGTAATAGCGATTTTTATCTATATAGCACTTACAAAAACAAGTATTACAAAGTACTTGCAAAGTACTGTACAATTAATATTTACAATAAAATATGTAGGGTAATGTACAATGTACCACAGACTATGGATTCAAATTACAAGTAATGGGCAGGGTATAATACTAACCATAACTATGATATAAAAGATAATATGATGGTTACGAAAGGAGAAACACCATAAATGAGACCCGTGGCACCTGAACTTAGTGTCAAAGGCCATAGAGAACAAATAAGTTTACGGATGTGATTTAAAAACTGCCAGGCTCGGGGCAGACCGAATCTCCACTGGAAAGCTGGTCCACAGTCTGGGTCCAGCAATAGCAAGGCACAGTCACCCTTGAGCTTAAGGCTGGACTTAGGCACGCTAAGTAACAGCTGACTGGCAGACTTGAGAGATCTACCTGGCATCATTAAGCAGCTCACTAAGGTATGAGGGCACTAGACCATTCAGAACTTTAAAAACAAATTAACAGTTTTGGACATGAAGCCAGTGCAGCGATGGAAGAACAGGGTATGTGGTCAGATTTCATTGTGTTTGTTAAAAGACGAGCATTTACTAACTCCGGCACGTTTCACATGAACACACTTATAGACCGATAGGAAGACCCAGACTTAACAGAATCAGTTGATAAGAGGCTTTGTGGTGTAGTTACCCGGGAAGACCAATGTTATACTCAGTTAGCCAGAATTATCTGAACTCACTTCGTGGTACAGTCTTTTGACAAAGTTACACATATTATTTGTTACATCTTTAAAAAAAAAAATCTAAACACGCACACCGATGCATGATAGGTTAACAGAATATTTTAGAACTACTATACTGTTAATCAGTTGTTACCAGACAAGCTTTATGATGGTGCCTGAGGCCTACAGTTAAGCAACCTTTCTTCCCTTTCTCTGTCATAAAACCTTGTAGACAAACCCCATTTAACCCCAGTCAATGGGATGTGAGCATGTTGAGGGGCCAAGGGGTCAAGTGAAGTCAACCCATAGTAGCCGTGAGTGGGTGATGAGGGGGCGTTATCATCCATCTAGCTCTTTGTTCTCTGCTGTCAAACTTCATGTTGACCACAGCCTGGAATGGTAGAAAGAAAGTCACCAGCACTTCATGAGGTCATGAATTTTATCTTGATGCATGGATAACTTCACAGTATTGCTAAACAACTAGTTCTGTAAAAATTGTGATCACATCTGTATGGCCACAGGTCAGCTGATTGCAAGGCACTGCAGCCCACATATACATAGATGCGCAAACCCACCTCATTACTCTGTGGGCAAATCCTGGATTATACTACCCCTAACCATTTCTCTGCCTACCCCCACTCATGCACACAAACATACCCCTCCACCTATCACTGAGCACTACTTGAGACCCCTCAAATCTTAATCCGTTCTGATTTTTGAGTGGCCCTGGATAACGGAAGCACACAGAACTCCTTCCCTTCCCCCTCACACACTCATCAGCTTCCCTCCTTCTGTCCTCACCACCACCACTGCTTCTCCTCTCTTGACTTAACTCCTCCCTAGGGCTTGGCTGATCACTGTTTCTCTGTGTGTGTACACCAGGTGAGCTCTGTCT